GTTTACGTTTACTTCTTCTCTCTCTCTCTCTCTCTCTCTCTCTCTCTCTCTCTCTCTCTCTCTCTCTCTCTCTCTCTGTGTGCATGCAATGTGTGTGTAAATTGGCTGTGTCTGTAAGTATCTGAACGACAGCAGGTGGGTGAGTGTACATGTATGACAACAATGTACATCTCAGTACAGACCACAAAAGGTCAGACACCAGAAATGGGGTCCCAGGAACTGGCAGAGAGCCAGCAGAACTCGGCTGTTGGCAGGGTGCCAGTGGGAGACGATGAACACAATTAGTTAAACAAGAAGTTCACAAAACTCTTTAATAGACTATTGTCTCCCAGAAGTTTGAAGTTTCTTGTAACAGTTCTGATTGTTCCTAACGCTGTTTTCCCGTGCCACAGCTAACGTTCTGTCACCGGGAGATGCAGCTCGCCACCAGCAGACCGTGCTGAAACGGGAGAACGCACCACTCCGCGCCCGCAAGACCATCATCCGAGCTTACCAAGGGTATGTGGAGGATTTACTTTTGATATAATAGAAATCTACAAAAAAGCTACAAGCAATTACAAAACTAGAAAGTTAACGTAAGTAACATTTGCAAAGCAAATGCATAATGTTCACCTCCACATATGGTCTGCTCTGTTAATTCGTACATTTATATATATGGCCAGACAGGAGTATAAATCCCCCTACTATAAAATTGTAACCCGACACCAGTTACCGTGGTGAGAGACGTCAACAAATCAGGTCATTGGCCAGGTCAGAGGTCAGTGTTTGAGGAAGAAGAAGAGGAAATGTAAAAACAATATGTTTCCTTCGGTAAACATACAAATTACAATGTTATAAATCTACATTGAGCAATGATCAAGATTTTTATCAATGAAAGATTACATCTTCTCCACAGACCTGAAGAACGCAATGGAGCGAGCAACCGACCATCCAAGAGGATCGGGGAGGGTTTGAAGGTGGACACCCTCAAGGAGAAGAAGTACACCTCCAACCCCGTGCTGAAGAAGTTCAACGCTTTCAAGCGCTACATCCAGAACTACCGCCTGCACATCTTCTGGCTCACCCTCTACACACTGGTCACCATCGGCATCTTTGCTGAGAGGGCGTACTGTGAGTCATGATGGCGTTTTCTATAATAGTGAAGTTTGATGCTTTTGTTAAACACGGGCAAAAAAGTGCCTCACCTTGAATTTTCAGTTGTTCTTCCATCAAACATCTTCAGAAAATGATGTTGATTCAGTTACTCTGAGCAAGAGCGTAGACAGACCGCTAGAATTCAATGAAGAGCGTAAGAGCGTATTAGCATATTTGCCATTTTAAATCTATGTAAGGCGTTGTAGCCATTTGGAATTTATCATAAAGCGTAATTGAGTGGTTTCCTGAATTCAGCGTAATACCTACCCGGCTCTCAAAATTTAGCGTAGAGCGTTGTCGGGACTCCCCCCCCCCATGCAGCCTCCCCTGTATAGTAGTAGAGAGGATTTTAACATTTCAAACTTCCGCCTCAGACTACTCTGTAGAGCGTGAACACGCCGGACTTCGGCGCATCGCGGGCTACGGCGTGACGGTGACCCGCGGCGCTGCCAGCGGCATGATGTGGGCGTACTCCATCATCCTGGTCACCATGTGCCGCAACACCATCACCCACATGCGCGAGACCTTCCTGCACCTCTACATCCCCTTCGACTCCGCCATCGCCCTGCACAAGATCATCGCCATGACGGCCCTGTTCTTCACAGGTCAGAAATTCATTTATTTATGAAAATTTACCATTGGATCTCTAAAGATGGATCAGATGCAGCATCCAATTGTGTTTCTCAACCTCAAAGAAAGATGGTGTATGCTATCTGAAACTGCTAAATCTGACTCATTCTGAAAGTAATATGCAATATTCTGCCAAGATGTCTAACTAGTGCTGTGTACCGGTTCACTGGACCGTTTCTGGACTTGTAAAAATGTTTAGGTTCAAGTCCAAAAAAAACTGAACTGAACCTAAACCTCTGGACTTGAATCCAGACCTGAACCTAAATGTGGGTCTAGGTACACAGCACTATACAGTCTAACCTTCATTCATTGATGGATTATGATTCTGTTGTACTTACAGTCATGCACTGCATCGGTCATGCCATCAACTTCTACCACATCGCCACCCAGACCGCTGACGATCTCACCTGCCTCTTCAGGGACTACTTCCACTAGTCAGTTTTGTTTCCTTTGCAAACTTTTGATTATGTTGAGTTGATTATATGGATGACATCCTCTGGGTACCCCAAAACTTATGCGAGCGTGCAAATAAAAAAAAGTTTTGCAAAAAAAAAAGTTGTTTTCATTATGAAATCTACATGGTCATGAAGGTTGAACAAATGACACAGAGTATGGAATGGCAAATAATCTACTCTTCAAATTCATGTTTTTCGTCTTTTACGTTTGATTTTGGCATTCTATGACTTTGGTATCATTTTCCAATATTTTTTTTCCAACTTACAGTATATATCTGCTCAATAACTGTTTTGTACCATTTACAGTATGGTTTCATCCGAAAATTCACGCGCACGCGGATGTCATCCATATACATGTAATCAAATCAACATGGCCTTATCAGAGTATTACTAATAGCTTTAAATTTGTCAAATGCACTCAGTAAAATCAAAATTTATTGCACAACAATTGTAACAGGTATACATGATTTATTGGTACATGTAGATCTCTTTGCAATTCTTTGTAATGAAAGTGGGAAATGAATTCTGAAGTGATTCAAAGTAAATGCATTTGATTTTTTTTGCAGCTCCAACGAGCTTCCCAAGTTCCACTACTGGTGTTTTGCAACAACAACTGGTGAGGCTATAAATTCTATAATTGTTTATTATATCATATCATATATCATATCCTATCATTTGATTGCAGTTTAAAACTGTGAGTGTTTAAAGCAGAATACTGTAATTCACTTTATGTTCACGATAGTAAAAGTTCACAGTCTCAGAAAAATGGACATGTTTACAGAACTATATATTCACGGCAGGAAAAAGAGAGTCCAGGAATTATTTGTTAACTGTAATGATCACGGTACAGAAGTGACAGTGAAAACAGTGAACATAACAGTACAGCAAAAAAATCAGGAATTACAGTAACACCACATTTTTTCTGTCAAAGCCTTCATAGAGTGATCATCAGTTACTTAGTTCTTAGATACAAAGTGAAGTGTACATGTACATGTACATGTACATACAAATTATAATGGGAGAAGCCTAAATACCTTGATTTTCACATTTTCATTAAAAAGTAAATGAAGATTCAATTTCAAGTTTTCCTCCCTACCCTATTTAATATGTTTTGATTATGTCCTCTTGCTAAATTTTACTTGAATGATTAAAATTAATCAATGCTTCAAAATATCAGAGATTGAAATAAATTTGCAAATTCAAACATACTTATTCTATTCATTTTTGAGTAATATTTAGTTTTTTGCTTTCAGTGGTTTTCCCACTTATCTAATACTGGCACCACAGTACTATTATAGTAAACTTGTCATACCCCAAACATTTCCATCTGTAAATAAGCATCTTGTACTTGCTGTAACTTTTTTAGATGTTGTTTTGCTTTTTTAAATATAGGCAGGAAGCTTATAGCAAACAGGTAATGAACAAAATTTATTGTATCACCCAGGCATGACCGGAATACTGCTTGTGCTGGTCATCGCTGTCATGTACGTGTTTGCGACGCAGTACGCCCGGCGTTACGTGTTCAAGGCCTTCTGGTTCACCCACAACCTGTACCCAATCATGTACATCCTCACAGTGCTGCATGGGTCTGGAAATCTTGTGCAGGTATACTATCGTGAAAGATCATCTGTGTTTGGTAGTTACATGTTTCAAGTTAAAACTTTTGGTCCAACACAAAAAGTTCTCTCACCGAGAGCTTTCGACCAGTCACTCTGGTCTTCCTTAGTAGACTGACCAAGTCATGTGGCTTCTTTGAAGTGTGACGTCAACACTGGGTCAAAGGTATCTGGTGGACAATGTTGGCCCCCATCACGGTGAAGTGAAGGGTCGAAAGCTCTAGGTGAGAGAACTTTTTGTGTTGGACCGAACGTTTTAACTTTTTAAAGTTAAAGTGTCGGTCTCTATGTTATGTGGCCAGAGTTTTGCCCAAACAACATTGCAAGGTTGCAATTTTGTATATACATGTACCAATGGGTTAAGGTCTGGACTTACAAGTCCGAAACTAGAACCTAAACCTCTGGACTTGAATCCAGACCTGAACCTAAATGTGGGTTTAAGTACACAGCATGTACTAGAAAGCCCATGAAGTTTGTTGTATTTACAGGAACCGTTCTTCTACTACTTCTTCCTGGGTCCATGTATTCTCTTCACCCTGGACAAACTGGTGTCCATCAGTCGCAAGAAGGTGGAGATTCCTGTAGTCAAGGTGGAGCACCTCCCATCCAGTAAGTACAGCAAACACACGGTCAACATTTAGTTGCCTTTTTTGTAACTGCAGGTGGTTCTCTGAGTGATTGGGCGCTGCTTTTTTAGAAAGGCCTTGGGTACGTTATCACATACAAAAAATGAAGGGGCATCACAGTTTTGCACACAATTCTTTTAAAATTAAATGGTAAAAATTTTCATGTGATTGTAATCTATTTCCACTTTTCAAGGTATTTGTGCAACTATCTGACATTTCTGACATCTTGAATGTGCTAAAACAGGCCACACGAGGTGCACTCATTTTATGGCACCACCATAAAATTGAGTGTAAACAAACATGGCAAACATAGCTGTTGTCTTTCCATCTGTTAAACACACTTGTAAAGTGTAATATTTTGTCACCAGCACTTCCTGAATGGCACTTATTTTTGCAATGTTTTTGCACAGTTGATTTAAACAAGGAGTTTTTAAATTTGTATCCTCCTTGATTCAAATTACTAAATTGACAAATTGTATAGAAATGACCAGAAAATTGATTTGTATCGTCCTAAATGTTTCATACTGCAGCTTTGATAACTTTCATATGCAAGGCAAATGTAGGAAAACATTGTACACTTCTCCCAAAAATCATACCACAGCATTTCATGCACCTACATGTATAGTTGATGTATCCTTTCTCTTCATCACCAGATGTGACAATGCTGAAGTTCAAGCGTCCCACCAACTTTGACTACAAGTCCGGACAGTGGGTGCGTATCGCCTCGGCCGCCCTGGGGAATAACGAGTACCACCCCTTCACACTGACGTCCGCGCCGCACGAGGACACGCTCAGCCTCCACATCCGCTCCGTCGGACCCTGGACCAACAACCTCAGGAAGACGTACGACCCCACCAAGCTGCAGCCAGATTTCGGCTATCCCAAGGTACTGGGCTGCAATGAATATAGAATACAACACAGTGTATTCCGTATCGATCAGTACCGACTCGCGGGAGGGCCGGGACTAAGGGCGATGCGGAATACTCCGTTTTGTATTTTATTTATGTCATACCCACCCAAGAAAACGCATCTTTCAATGCAAAATGAGCCAAAATTTTGTGTCCCTAAACCCAAAAACGCCACAACTTCAGTTCCAACATATGAATTCTTGTGTTCAAATTTTCGAAAGCAGTGCACGCTGTTAGGGCGAAATGCGCTGCGATGTCATGGCGATTGCTTGACGTACAGTTGTACAAAAAAATGTATAGAATGGAGAACATCAGCATCTGTATCGTTCCTCAGGTGTTTGTTGACGGTCCCTATGGAGAGGGTCACCAGGACTGGTACAAGTACCCGGTGGCCGTGCTGATCGGCGGCGGGATCGGAGTCACGCCATTCGCCGCCATCCTGAAGGACATTGTGCAGAAGTCTGGACAGGGAGCCAAGTTCAACTGCAAGAAGGTAATTGGACAAAGAAACACCAGTCCTTCAAGTTGGAATTACATACCGTCATACTCTTTACCGTACATGCACTTCACTTTATTTATTTTACGAGTAATTACAACTCAGGCCATTTCAGCCTGCTTTTCAGGTAATCCTGGATAAACATGACATTTGTACATAAAAAGTACACACAGCAAATACACAGTACAGAAACAATTAATAAAAAATATAACATCCAGAACATCAACTAGATCAAGTTCTATTCCTAATGATCTTCTAGACTTGGTACTGCTTCATTCATCCAGTGATTAATGTGCATTTACATAATCACTGTCACTCTCTCTCTACATTTTCTAGTTTACATAATCTGTTTCAAAATGCATATAGCTGGGATACAACTGCCCTTCAATGTAACACACTAAGTAGTCTAGTTTCACAGGCAGCCAGAGCAACAGCAGGTTATAGTTATACAACGTCATGTATTACACTAAACTACCTGTCACACATACACGTACATGATCTTTGGACATCTACCTGCATGCAGTATTGTTTGAAGCTATCTACAAGCTACTATCTACTGTGTACTTGTTGGCAATGAGTGCCACTCTACGATCGTAGTTCTAGGAAAAAAGTTTCAAGTTTCAAAGTTTTGCAAGAGTTTCAAGAGTTTCTGACGCATTGTGATGAACCATGATAGGTGTACTTCCTGTGGGTGACTCGGACCCAGAAGCAGTTTGAATGGCTGACTGACATCATCCGGGAGGTGGAGGAGAAGGACAAGAACGACCTGGTCAGCGTGCACATCTTCATCACACAGTTCTACCAGAAGTTTGACCTCAGGACAACCATGCTGGTACGGACACATGTTTCTTTATACATGTACATGTACATACAACTAACAGTAGTGTAGAACATCTTCATCACACAGTTCTACCAGAAGTTCGACCTCAGGACTACCATGCTGGTACGACCACACATGTTTCTATATACAATCATATAGAATACAACACGGGGTAGTTCGTATCGCCCGAGGTACCAGCCCAACCGCACGTCGGATCGCTCGAAGGCCGAGGGTGATGCGGAATACACTGTGTTGTACTTTATTCATGTCATACCCACCCAAGAAAATGCCTTTCAATACGAAATGAGCGAAAATTTGGTGTCCCTAAACCAAAAAAATGCAGCAACATCAATTCCAACGTCCGAATTTCGTATTCGAATTTTCAAAAGCGGTGCACATACACTGTGTTGTATTTCATTTATGTCATAACCACCCAAGAAAACGCCTTTCAATGCGAAATGAGCGAAAATTTGATGTCCCTAAACCCAAAAAATGCAACAACATCAATTCCAAAGTCCCAATTTTGTATTCAAATTTTTGAAAGTGGTGCACATATCGAACGTAATCGCGGCCCAGGTATGACATAAACGTACATACAAGTCTGCTTGGTCAGTTGAACTGTAACAGTAGTGTAGATCAGGAAAGAAAATAGCCACCAAAACTCATCACGACTTCCAAATGTTTACTCAGACAAAAAAAAAACTCTTAGACTATGAACCTGTTAACCTCCGGAAACCTAGTAGTACCTATTACAGAAAAATGGGACTGATTCCAAAAATGAAGTTATTAAAAAGTTAAATCGAATGAATGTTTGTAACGGTGAATGTTTTTCTTGCTTTTTACCAGTACATCTGTGAGCGCCACTTCCAGCGAATCTCCGGGCGGAGTCTGTTCACCGGCCTGAACTCCATCACCCACTTCGGCCGCCCCAACTTCGAGTCCTTCTTCGACACCCTCCAAGACGAGCACCCTGAGGTTAGTCCGATTCATAAATATAGAATATACCTTGTTGTGTTTTATTTATGCCATACCCACCGAGAAAACAGACATTTCAATGCGAAATGTGCCAAAATTTGGTGTATCTAAACAAAAAGTGCAACATCCAACATCTGAATTCGTTGTTCAAAATTTTGTGCGCACGAAACACGTCCAAATTATTCTATGGAACATTTGGAATCCCATGTGATAACAAAAGTGAACCCGGACTGTACTGCTAGTTATCACATGGACTGGAACACCGAATGTTATCGCAGCCCAGGTGTGACATTATGTGTTTGACTCAGTCTTCTGGCCAGCGTCTGTCTTTCTGTCACTTGACAAAATGTTGCTGCTCATGACAGACAAAAATTTTCCCCATCCCTCATCTTTGATGGACAAAAATTGGATTTCAAAGTTGAAGATACGGAAAGAGACGTCATCAACCAAAGCTTAGTCTTTTATTTAACAAAGGGCCCTATTAAAGTGGCATATACTGTATACTATTACTGTTACAGTTAACAAAGGAAATTCATATTGTACAGGTATGTACTATCATGAATTCTCAGTAGAGACATTACCTCAAACACAATAAGTCAAAACTCCCATAAACATTTCAATAAAAGGTTACTGTTTCACTCATTCTCCAGGTGAACACGTTCGGAGTGTTCAGCTGTGGCCCACCTCCCATGACCTACACTGCAGACAAGGCCTGCTCCGAGATGAACAAATTCGACGGAGCGTCCTTCATCCACCACTTCGAGAACTTCTAAAAAGTTTCTTAAAGTGTTAGTACAACATATACATGTTGTAAGATGAAGTTGTTAGAATAAGAATGAATGTACATGTAGTGTGTCCATTCTTTTTTAAAGTAAAGGTAAACTTCCACTATAAGAATTTTAAAACCAAAGGCAGCAATGACTTAAGAACATACGTTTATGTATTCCTGCCCAATCATTTATCGACCACTTCAAAGTATTGTTGAAGTGAGAATTAATTAATTAATTAAGTACGTTAAATCTTTTTTAAAGATAGGATAAAATTTTACCCTCTGTAAAATATTCAACAACTTGAAGGTAAGTAATAGAATCATATTATCAAATTTGAGGTGTTCAACAATAATGGTGTTGGTAAGATGAGTTTATAAGATGTGATGATTTGGGCTTCTTATGACAATTTAAGCATTATAAAAATAATTGATATGTGTTGTGTATATATTTGTCATTAATGAATTTCATAGCTTATTAGCCGAGATGCATTTTTATGAGACACATACTTTTGTTACTTTTGTATGAGGGACTTTGTGGAAAATTGTGCCAGTAATCTTGACAAAGCTTATGGTGCACGACAGAGTGATAGATCATGAAAGTTCATCTGTGTCGGTAGTAATCATTATACAGTAGTAAACGTTGAACTTTATTCCAACACAAAGTTACACAGAGATCAAATTTTCAATGATCACTGTCACCTTCATTAGCATACTAAGTAATGAATGGCCAGTCACTTCAAAACGTAATCGGACCCACGAGAGTTACGGTTACAGACACATGACATTATTTACAAGAGACTTTTAATTACTGATTCGTAAGCAGTTGATCAAAAGTGCCCCTGGCATAAAGTTCAACATTTTACTAAGAATGATAGATGTTAACATCAGTTGGACAGACAGGAATCTATTGGATAGACAAACAGGAATATATTAGATGTTAACTACTTTTAATGGTTCGTGTTGATACAAAAATGCTTGTAAACTGTTGCAAAATGTACTGCTTTAATGTTTTTAATTTTTTTCTCATTCATTGTTGCTACAATGTATACTGTGCTTGCAAGGTATAATATAAGGGACAAACCATTAATGAAGGGGGGTTGAATAGTTGAAGATGTTTATAAACCTAATCTGAGATTTGAAATGGCTGCAGACAATCATATTAACAGCAGTGTTAACAGTTAGATGCTACAAGAAAAACATGGGTGATGTCACAATTATATCCTGAAAATCAAAGAAATCTATCAAACCCATCATGACTTTTACATATAGCTGCCAAGACATAGCCTCTATAGTCTTGGCTAGCCTCTACCAGGCTTCAGGAGGCGGCTGGAAAGAGTAAAAATCGGCCAAGTTGAGACTGAGATAGTCAGGGGAATTGGTCTGCAGGAGAGAACAGTTTGCCGAACACCCGGGTGCTATCTCACTATTTGGCGAATTCTACTCTTGCCAGCCGCCTACCGAAGCCTGGTAGAGGCTAGCCAAGACACAAACACTGAAAACACCTCCTCCCTTCTCCTTCCCAAAGGTGTAAATCATTAATTTTGATAACTTTTAGGGAATTACATCAACATTTATCAACATAATAACGAACATAAACACAACCCAGCAAAATAGAAACTTATTTTTTGGGTCCCCCCTACAATCATTCGTGGTCTGTTCCTAAATGCTATGTGGGTCATTTTTTATACATTTATTCAAGACATTTGAGGTATTGAAGAAGATATAACTGCTTGGCAATCCATGATCATGGAATGTTTGGTCAGTCTTAGTACTTAATACATGTATGTAGTTAGGTTGTGCAACTTAGTGCCTAGTAAGTTCTTTTTAAATTAGCTATAAGGATACAAGATGTAACGATATTGAATTTCATCTTGTCAAAGAGCTGTAGTTTTGTGTAGTTTATTGGCAAAGTAGTTTTTTTTCTGTTTTACGTGGCCAGCGGTCAATGATAGTACTTAAATGATAAGTTTGAAAGTTTCTCAGTGTCACGATTTTTACGCAAAGAACTTGGTGAAAGCAGAACTTGTACCAAAAAAGACCAAAAAAAGCTCTATGTTTTTACCGATTTACATGTACACTGAATGTATATGCTTGCCAGCTTTGAGTCAGCAGCATGTAAACATACATTTTATGAATAAAGTTTTTATCTTACCAAATCTTGAGTTTTCCCTGTAGTTCTTATATGAAATATAAATACTGTCAATGTTAATGCTTACTAAATAAATATGAATATAAATGAGTATAAATAATATAAAATATACTGTCAATGTTAATGCTTACTAATATGAATACATATTAAAATGCTACCTAATATAGATATACATGTATATTGAAAGAGCAAGATGAAATGTAAATACTGTTAATGTTAATGCTTACTGCTATCTACATGTACCTATTATAATTTAAAGAGCAATGTAACAAAGACACAAGAATTCGGGAACCTCGGGCCTCCATGACATATTTAGGTTTTGTGTGATGGTGACTGCCCTCTTCTCATTCACCATGGTACATGTAGCACGAGTCTTTCTTTATTGTGCAAAATTAGAGAAGAATAGAATAGTCTTTACGGCCAGGTAGGACTCCTGGTGTCCAGTTTAGACCGCTCCTCATTGCTTCTCTGTTCATATGACGGTCAGGCCACACCAATTTAATTTGTTGGTTCTCGGATTCGCCTCTTCGTTTTTTTCTGATTTGCAAAAAAAAAAAAAAATTAGATTCTGGTCCTGAATCAACTGAAAAAAGCTCATATTTTGCCCCCAACAGTTGAGGAAAGTCCTTTTCTTCCTAGTTGTTACAGTTTTCCCATCTATCATTGCAGTGGTTTGATTAAAAGTTCAAAATTCAATGTTTAAATTTTAACCCAGCCTTTTGTGTTGACTTCATGGCTCATTCCGTAGCATTTAAGCCTATAATGGGATGCCTAGACCTATTTTTTTTTCGCCCTGTCGCTTCATATTTTTTCTGAAAAAATCCGAGAACCAACAAATTAAATTGGTGTGGCCTCATGTTGAGTTTTAGTGGATGGTCTAAAGACCTGTGGTTGTACATGAGGTAGCCCAACAACGCAGGTAGCTGCTCTACTCTTCAAAGGTCCACGAATGTTGATGCCCTTCTACGTCGTCATGACAACGCGATATCGTCTCGTGATTGGCCAAGTGGCTCGTTACGTCAGCGTTCTGGAACGTCACTCCATAACCGTTTGTCATACTTCGATGTGTCGTCCTCTCGACTCTTGTTATCAACATTGGCAGATCAACAAACAAACAAACAACAACAAACGTTGTTACGACAAACAGTGTGCTGACGACATCGCTGAGATACAGGCATGCCTACCGACCAGGGGAGAGAGGACGTCTTGCGTCTGGGGACGGAAGTCGTACGACCAGTCACAACCTACCACGAGCACTTCGAGGCAGAGTTTCAAAGATCGGGCACAAAACCTCCACCCGTACCGGTAAGGGCGCCTCACGATCACCGTACGATATCGTTGCACGATCGCAAACTGAAGGCATTCTTGATCATATAGTCGTACAAGCGTCGTGAGAAATTCAGTTGTCTTGCTATGTTTCAACCAGCATAGAGGTGTTTTGGGAGGGAGAACCTTCATAAATCTTGCCAAAAAAATTAAAATATAACTTTTAAATAATAGAATGAAGCTATGGCAAAGGGAAAACCTTAACTTCAAATCTGTTCCAAATAGTGTCTCATGGGGTTATGAGTTTCAAAATTTTTCGGCTTAATATGCGCGATGTTCACCACAAAAGCTGCTCTTCTCTACCTGACGTCGTACAGAATTTCTATGTATAATGCCATTCATATTAGTAAAAAAATACGTTAACGCTTAGTCATGCTGATTGATGTGAATTGGTAATGAAAATTAGCCCATTGGGACCAAACAGTAAAAGCATTTTATTGTTATGATTCTCATAATTGTTATCGTCATCGATATCACCATTAACAGAAAAGAAATTTGCACTTTATGCCAGCGTTATAAAACAAAGCTTTGAGCTATAGCTACTCCACGGCACAACGTCATATGATACTATAAAAATTGAACCCATAGACTGGATACAGTTGCATTTTAGCATGTTTTTGTGTGCATCCTTCCATTGAAATGTCATTTGATGGACAACAAGACAAAGAACTCCTGTTGTAAAATCCTGATTAGTCTTTCATCTTGTTGATCCGAGTAAGACAGCGCGAATTGTGTCGGTAGTGTCCCGATAGACACAAGTCACCTTCAGACGTACCTGTTAGTCTCCAACGTTAGGCCACACCAATTTAATTTGTTGTTTCTCGGATTTTTTTTCTTAAAAAAATATGAAGCGACAGGGCGAATTAAAAAAACAGGCCAAGGCACTGAAGTGAACATACCAGGCTGGTTTTTGATAAAACAAAGTTGCATTGTTACATTGAAAAACTTTAACAAATAGGTAGAAAAGGACTTTCTTCAACCGTTGGGGCCAAAATATGTCTTTCATTGAGCATTTTGCAGTTGATTTAGAAAAAAAAATGGGGGGGGGGGGCAAATCGGAAAAAAATGTACAGGGTGAATCCGAGAAACAACAAATTAATTTGGAGTGGCCTTTATAATAATAACAGCACCTGGACGTTCGATTAGTGCCTTGAAATAATGCTTGCATTTAGAATATCTTAAATGCGCAAATGGACAAAAGATAATCGCCAACTAAAAGGGTTTGGTAACAACCAGGCTAAATTAGAAAATAAATTAAAGTACGTGATACAATCTCCTCGGTTGTTCCAATAAATATAGGAAAACCTCAAATACTTCTGTGAAGTGAATTAATGTCTTGATTTCTTGTACAGTACGCAGAAGGGCCCATGGAGCTGAAAAAGGACACCACCATGTTCCACAGTCATTACGTGCATTACGGAAGGGAGGTGTGTTTACGTGTGTGTGTGTGTGTGTTTGTGTTAACATGTGTGTGTGTGTGTTAACGTGTGTGTGTGTGTGTGTTAACGTGCGTGTGTGTGTTTAGGTGTGTGTGTTTACGTGTGTGTGTGTGTGTTTACGCGTGTGTGTGTGTGTGTTTACGTGTGTGTGTGTTTGTGTTAACATGTGTGTGTGTGTTAACCCTCAACAGTACACCTTCCCGGACTGATTAATCTGTACACCTGGGGTCCGCGCGGACCCCAGAGCAGTTTTTTGCTAATTTTTAGAAATTATCAACATGCTACCAGCTCAATTGTTTTGCAAACTGATGTGGGAACCTCTGTGTCCACATTACATACAAAAATCATACATTTTGAACTTTTTCTATTTTTTGGTGAAGAAAAGAAGGCAAGAAGAAATACCAGATTTTTAAACCCATTTCAGACTGAAGGGGCTTTTGAGGCCCAACTTTGATCTCAGATAGCGGCTAAACGGCTTGCGCTAGAAGTATCAAATTTGGAGACCTTTCCTAAAATGTCTCTGGAAAAAAGTTCATATTTGTTTTGTACTAGTAAGTTGATGTTTTTTGTGTTGCCATGGCAACGGGTAGTTTTTTTGAAAATAGAAGTAATTTTGGTTTAAACTTAAAAATTTTTATATAAAATATTTAAGTTTTATATAAAATTACACTTCTTTTCCAACATAAATAACATCTTACATAATTAAATATAAGTTAAATCATTCAATATGCATAGAATATGCTAACTTGATGACGTCATTGGTCAAAATCCAATATGGCGGACTATATTATTAGCCCTGACGTCATATGACGTCATAATTACACCAAAGTTATTAAAATTTAATTCTATTACTACACCATTCTCTGAAAACTTGGTAGACATACGATGAATGCATAAAAATATATAAAAACGGAAATAAGGTAATGTATAAGAACGCCAGTGTATCCATTATGATCGAAAGCCGGCTGGGGTCCGCGCGGACCCCAAAAGAAAATCAGATATAATTTTTTTATAAATGGCAAAAACGGAGTTTTCTGCACTGTATTGAGAGACAACTTTGTGGGTGACAATTACCTAAAATTTCAGAAAAAAATCTTTAGAAACAAAAAAGATATTACAGAATATATAGTGCTGGGGTCCGCGCGGACCCCAGGTGTACTGTTTAGGGTTAAACTTGCACTGTATTCCGTAAAATTGCACTGTACACTCTGGCACCCCTGAGCAATGGGGGGGGGGTGTAACGTGTAACAGTACTCTTTCAAAGCAAGATTGTGACGGGTTAAGGT